AAATGATAATTGCATACTTTTTAAATAAGAAAGTGGTTAAATATATTTCCAAAAGTCAATGGCATCAAACATTAAAAACCGGAGAGAGTAATAATATGATAGTCAAGTGGTGAAACTTTATTTAACCTGGGAAAAACATATTACACACTTCTAAAAATGTTTATAGCAAATAATTGCAAAACTCAATGAATTTCTTTTTTTTGTTTTTATTAGTAAATACTAAGATATTCACATCAAATCAATCAATTCTGATTCCTACAAACCATTATTCTGAGAAGTTAATTGAAAACACAATATGAAAATTTATACTACTTTAAGAGAACATAGTGGTGATGGTGATTCTCCCCCAAGGGCTAACATCCTTCCCATGAACCTCCACTTTATATTTTGTTCATTGTTAGTCACTGCTAACATTTTCACACCAAAAACCATAGTATTTGATCATAATGAAATCATTCTCTATGTATTTTTGTAGTATTATAATGGTACGTATAATAGATATTTTCAATTTTGAGTTACCACTTAACACTAAACTTAACACTAAGATATTACTCTATTTTCCCCCAAAATATAAGGTGTTCATATTACTTTTAGCTGATACTTAAATTACAGGACAAGCTTAGCATAATGTATGTGATGTCGTTAGATTTGTATTAAAAAAACTTTTTCATAATGTTAGTTTCGTAGTTGTTGATTGTATACTATAAGTAAACTAATGATCAACGTATAATATGTCGGAAAGATGGGCTTAGACAGACGTGGGAAACCACATGTCTGTGATTGACTAGAGGCTCTAGGTGAACTTGATCTGCTCAAGAGTGCTTGGGAGCAAGAAATGCAAAGCAAGTGTTTGGGTTTCCCCAAGGATAACAACTATACATATAAACTAGAGTAGGGTTATTACTCATCCCGAGGGTCTGAACTAGTATACAAATCCCTGTCTCCCGTCTACCTTATCGCAAACTCACGTATACCTTAGCACTAGTGTTCCCCATACTATACTAATACCGTTGTCGGTATAGCTCATCGATAGATACACATCAACCCGTTTTACTTACCATGAGAACACATATACCCCTTCCCGGGGTGCTAATGGGTTCTCGCGGTAAGACAACTGGAGTGCGGAAACCATCCCCTTCCCAGAGGCTACCATGTGGTGGCCCCTAGGAGAGGATGACCCACCTACTCACCTTGACTTATTTTGGTCAAGCCATGCCTAGCATTCCCCTACCAGTCCTTAGTCATGACCTCTATCTTAATACAATGCCACAACCTAGTTGGCCCCATGTAACAACTCATGGGACAAGCGGCTGCCTCTGAGCAGCTTTGCAGACACGACTTCGACCCGAGCCAATTGACCATAGTAGAGTCTCATAAGTTCAATCTTTCTTAAGACTTTGATACCTAGACAGGTGATGGGCATATAGACCTCCCCACCAGGGTTCGTATTTGGCCTAGGCCGGAGAAACACTCACCCACCACCCACACAGTTTTGATGACTTGCATTCCATGTTAAGCAAACCGGTGAAGTGAGGGACTCCTTAGCCACGATGCTAATCACGTAAAATGCTAATATGTCTTACTTCCTCCGTTTCATATTATAAGACTTTCTAGCATTACCCACATACATATATATATATATATATATATATTAATGAATCTAGACATATATGTGTGCCTAGATTTATTAACATCTATATGAATGTGGGCAATGCTAGAAAGTTTTATAACCTGAAACGGAGCTAGTATATCTTTAGAATGGAGGGAGTGTCATTAAAAGAAAATCTGAATTTAATACTTTCCACTAATACACCAAAAATCTGAATTATGACTAACCATGTAAAGAAAACACCATTACTCCACATAATCTTGCAAAATCATATTCACACTAATACCCACCTGTATTACACCAGTTATTCACAGCAAGCATGCATTAATTGTTTCCATATCTGAGTTCATACTGATATCTACTCCATTAATAACCCCCATTAAAGCCATTAATAACCCAGCAAAATATTTTCCAAAATTACCTCTTTGAAAAAAAGTTCATGGAGTTTTGCACAGGAAAATTACTGCTGCTCTGTGTACACCAGCCGGAGTACACCCAGCCAAAAAACACCAGCGCATCACCATAATGTGTTCATATTACTTTTAGCTGATACTTAAATTACAGTACATGCTCAACATGATGTGTGTGATGTCGTTAGATTTGTGTTCAAAAAGTACTTTTTCATAATGTTAGTTTTGTAGCTGTTGATTGTATACTATAAATAAACTAATGATCAACGTATAATATGTCGGAGAGATGGGCTTCAATAGACGTGGGAAACCACAAGTCTCTGATTGACTAGAGGTTCTGGGTGAACTTGATGTGCTCAAGAGTGCTTGGGAGCAAGAAATACAAAGCAAGTGTCTGGGTTTCTCGAAGGATAACAACTATACATATAAAGTGGAGAAACTGGAGTAGGGTTATTATTCATCCCGAGGGCCTGAACCAGTATGCAAATCCTTGTCTCCTGTCTACTTTATCGCAAACTCGCGTATACTTTAGCACCAGCGTTCCCTATACTATACAAATACCGTTGTCGGGTATAGGCCATTGATAGATACACATCAACCCGTTTTGCTTACCATGAGAACACATGTACTCCTTCCCGGGATGCTAATGGGTTATCGCAGTAAGACAGCTAGAGTGCGAAAACCATCTCCTTCCTAGAGGCTACCATGTGGTGGCCCCCTAGGAGAGGATGACCCACCCTACTCACCTTGACTCATTTTCGGTCAAGCCATGCATAGCATTCCCCTACCAGTATTTAGTCACGACCTCTATCTTAAGACATTGCCACAACCTAGTTCCTAGGTGGCTAGCTAGTTGGCCCCATGTAACAACTCGTGGGACAAGCGGCTGCCTCCGAGCAGCTTTGCAGACACGACTTCGACCCGAGCCAATTGACCCTAGTAGAGTCTCATAAGTTCAATATTTCTTATGGCTTTGATACATAGACAGGCGATGGACATATAGACCTCCCCGAAAGGGTTCATTTTTGGCCTAGGCCGGAGAAATGCTCGCCCATCACCCACACAGTTTTGATGGCTTGCATTCTATGTTAAGCAAACCGGTGAATTGAGGGATCCCTTAGCCACAATGCTAACCACGTAAAATGCTAATATGTCTTATATCTTTAGAACGGAGGGAGTGTCACTAAAAGAAAATCTGAATTTAATACTTTCCACTAATACACCAAAAATCTGAATTATGACAAACCATATAAAGAAAACACAATTACTCCAGATAATCTTGCAAAATCATATTCACACTAATAGCCACCTGTATTACACCAGTTATTCACAGCAAGCATGCATTAATTGCTTCCATATCTGGGGTTCAAACTGATATCTGCTCCATTAATAACCCCCATTAAAGCCACTAAAAACCCAGCAAAATACTTTCCACAATTACCTCTATGAAAAAAGTTCATGTAGTTTTGCACAGGAAAATTACTGCTGCTCTGTGTACACCAGCCGGGTACACCAGCCAAAACACACCAGCGCATCACCACCAGAAACAGCCGCGCGGACGGACACAGCCACCACCACCGGGGCACGCGCAACCCGTGCGTCCACGCTCCCCCACCCCACCCCCCGCGCAGTCATCGACAGGTGGGCCCCACCGCATCGGCTGCGTTCCCCACGTCGCCTGGCCCCACTCACCCCCCGCCACGTGTCCCGTCGCGTGACTCGCGTCACGTCCCCTTCCCCCCCTTCCGTTCCCCCGGGGAAGCGAGACCTCTGACTTTTTTGCGGCCCCCATCCGACTCCCTGACACGTGGGTCCCACACCTACCGCAGCCCACACGTCAGCGGCACAACCGCAAAGGAGGAAGGCCTCATCAGCGAGAAACCTCTGACCTTTTGCGGCCCGCATCTGAGTCACCGACATCTGGGTCCCACTCCACCACGGCCTCATCATCCGCCCCACACCTGGCCCCCCGACTCGACTCTCCGCGAATTCCCCTCTCCTCGCTTAACCCTCTCCTCGCTTTGCTCGTGCTTTGCTTTGCTTGTTGCTCTCCTCGCGTGAGCTCTCTCCTCCTCTTCTCCCCCACCCGCCTCCTCCTCCTCCTCCTGCTGCTGCTGGGGCGAGGCGATGCCCTAGATCGTAGCCCTAGAACGAGCTTGCGCGGCGAAGCCCCGATCCCCCACACCATTCCCGGAAATGGATCGCCCGCCGCATCTCGTCATCGACCTCAACGAGGAGCCCGAGCCGGCGCCGTGCGAGACGCCCCCTCCCGCCCCCGCCCCCGCCCCAGCGCCCGCGCCGCCGCCCGTTCCAGCGGCGGCGGTGGCGGCTCCTCTTCCTCTTTTCCCGGCGCAGCCGACGGCCCCGGCCGCCGTGGGCGGCGCCGTGGTGAGCCAGGTGGGGATGCTTCCTTACGAGGCGCGTGAGGTGGCGATGGGGATCCATCGGGACGCGGTGGCGCAGGCGCAGGCGCTGAGGGTGGCGGCGGCGAGCGCGATCGAGTCGGTGACGGCGAGGGCGCCGCCGTTCGGGCCGCCGGCGGCGCGGCACCCGGGGGAGGCAGGGCGTGGGAACCCGCCGCCCCCGTGCGCGGCGTGCGGCCTCCCCGAGAACCCCGGGGGGACCATCGTCTGCGACTCCTGCGAGCGCGGGTTCCACCTCGCCTGCGTCCGCGTCTGGCCGCCGCTCATGCCGCCGCCGCCGCCGCCGCCGGCCCCCCCCGGCGCGCGTCGGCCCCGCGCCACCGCCAACGAGGACTGGATATGCCCCGAGTGCGAGATGCGTGGCGCCCGCACCAACAGGTGGAAGCTCGGCCCCGTGCCGCTCGACATCAACGTGCCCCCGCCGAGCACCCCGGACGCGGAGGACCCCGTCGCCGTCGCCACCAGAGACGTCACCAGGCAGTTATCTCAGCTCTCATTTCCTCAACTCCTTTTGCTTACGGCTGACTTGATCCGTTGGTCTAAAAAGTGCTGAAAATTCATGCCGCCTTGCGATGAAATGCTGGTGCTCTGCAGATGGTATTCTTGGTGGGACTAAGCCACACCCGTTAGCGTGGGATGACGCTATGAACCCTTTTTTGTTATGGTTGATGTTTTAATTCATTGTTTGCCATGGTTACAGACTTAATATGTGTGTTACGTTTATCTGCTCTGTTTGACTGTTGATGCATTTGGATCTTAGTCCTGTTGCATGATTGATGCCGAAATGACTGGGTTTCAATTCTATAGTTAGCACTATGTGGCAGTGGCCTTAGTCTTTTTATAGCTTCTTGTTATAGTGATTACTAAATTTAGGTGCCACACTGTTGCTTGTCTCTTTTCTTCCCAATACGCTACGAACCAGATATATTGCACTGTGCAGATGATTTGATGCTTTTACCCTTTGCTTGGTATGGTCAATGGTATTATATTCTGTTGAAGTCTTAGGATCTTGCCTATGTCATTTGTAATTTGCATTCTCAGTTGATTCAAGTAGGAACCTACATGTTCTCTTCATGGCAGATTGGCAGGTCCATGTAGTCAATTTGTAGTTTACTTATAGTCCATATTGATTTTCTGTTGTAGTCTTAGGATCTTTCCTATGTCATTTGTAATTTGCATTCTCAGTTGATTCATGTAGGAACCTACATGTTCTCTTCATGGCATATTGGCAGGTCCATGTATTATAGTCAATTTGTAGTTTACTTATAGTCCATATTGGTTTTGGTCTAGACTATGGGTCCTCGTGTGTTTTGTGTACTTGGCTTCTGGTCTATCCATGAATGCATTAGCTTGACTACATATGCTCCCTACTAACATGGTAACACAGCATAGTTCTGAAAACCTCTAGTTGGCTTCACCAATTTGCTCTTGCCAGTTGCCACAAACAAATAAGGCATGGGAAGAGAACTAGAGCACTAGTTTGTATTAGTTCCCTTCTGTTACCATATTGCTTTTGGTCTAGACTGAGTCCTCATGAATCCCTATTTTCCTAGCATGTTACAAGAGATGGACGGCATCAAAGAAACTCTGTACTTCTCCACCAATCCGTAGTTGGCATGGAATGAATCAATGCTTTTGTTTTTTTGGGGGTTGCTGCTATCAGAATGAATCAGTGCTTTGGTTTTTCAGGGGAGAGCCCATGTAATTGACACACTTACACCTAGTAAGCTCCCTGTGGTGTTTGAATTGCAATGCCACTTTTGGCTACCTTTTCATCCTCCATTTTGGATCTAAAGCGTGCACCATCTTGTCGCTGTTGTGCATTGATGACCTCTATCGCACCATTTGGACCTACATGGAAAGCGATACCAGTTGCGTTGCATTATCTTGTGTTGGTGTTTCTAGCCTCATTGCAATGACCATTCAGGTTTCCTTGCTGCATCTTGTGCTGTCGAGTTACTGTTTCATGGGCAGACTTGTATCACTTGCTTTCCCTCATGATATCACATTCTCAGCTTTTCTCCATTGACCTTATTCTACATCCTTTGGATTTTTATGTTTAAAGGATTTTTTTAGTTTAATCAAAGTTACATGGCCTTCTATTTTTTTTTGAAGCCATTCCAAATTTAGAACATTTGGTGATTATTTCCTTGGTTTGGCACTTGCCATTCTTATCTGATCTAATGATGTGTACCATGCTCGTTCTTCTTTTAGGTTGATCACAGTCCATCTTGGACCGAGTTCAATCTCCACTCTTCTGCCGCATTTATCATGGCCTGTTATCATCGATTCAGTTTTTCACTTGAGTCCTCTTTTTTTAGCCTTCTTCTGATTTGTTGCCTTTGTTGTGACTTGACTATCTTAGTCTTCTTTTCATCACCATCTTGCTAATTGTTGCCACCATTGCTGCTTACAATCATCACCACCTTTTTTTTTTTTGCAATTGTTCGGTGAATCCTTTTATGCCTATACTAGCCAGTGTGATTGTCTTTGTCTCTATGCTATTGGTTTTATATAATAGATTTATGCATCTTTTTTTCTACATTTCCACCAACTTTTTAGATAGTATGATGTGAAAGTGACTGTCCTTTGTTTGCGTACGAAGACTTCCGTTTTGGAAGGCTAACATCATGTAGAGAGGATGTTGTTTGCTCTTCCAACATGTGCATTTGATCAAATAGCAGCATAGTATGGCTTGCTGCATAATTTTGTAGCTTATAGGTTTTATGTAAGAGTACATACCATTTAATTTTAACTTTTAAGGCTACTTGGACATGGGCACCTTCGTTAGAAATCAACACTTGGATTTAGGTGTTCGATTTGGCAATTAAACATGCATATTACTAATTAGAAATGGACATGATTCAATTTGGATTCAGGTGTTTAATTTGGTAATTTTTTTTTTGACATGGGTGTTTGAGTGGAATAGCACTTCATATTTTTTTATAATTTACTAAGGGAGGCCATCTTTGGTCCTATTATTGTAGTCTAATGATCTCATGATAGTGATTTGACGATAAAATGTTACTGTTGTTGGGCTCGTAGGCATATGGGCCTATTAGAACCAATCATAATTGGCATATTTGTCTTGAATGAATGCCAACAGATACATGTCTTCTGTTTATGTATAGGAGATGTTGGGAAAATGTTTGATAAGAACATGGAATAGGAGATGTTGGGGAAATGTTTATAAGAACATGGAAACCATTAAGGAATTGGAAGACATAGGTTATCGTGGCAGCCGAGGTGGTCAATCCCAAAGATTAAAAGTTGCTTTTTTAGATGTCTAATTTCCTTTTTCCATGTTATGTACTTATGTAGACTGATATCTTTTGTAGTTATTTCTGCCTCTTATAAGCTCTTGGTAGGAGGTATTTTCTATCAGGGCCCCATGTTTGAGATAGAACAATCAACAAAGTAGTACTCCCGCAAAGTCTATAGTTTCTCTCCCCATGTGCTTCTCTCCTTCAAGCCAATATTGTATGATCTCCACCTAGTACTTACCATGTTATGAGCCAAGGCTCAAGTCAGATTACCGAGTATCCATATTAGAGGAGAGTGTAGATTGTATACCCATTTTCTGTTTCTATCTCATTTTGATGATCTCTTGTACCGGTATATTGGCTAGGGTCCTAGTTGGCTATATATATCACAACTGCCCCCCTCCCCAACCCTGCAACAGGTGTGAGCCGTTTTCCCTAATTCTATCTTTCTACATGGTATTAGATTCAGAGTTCTTACCTTTTCCGGTGCCCTAGCGCTGCTGCGTCCTCTTGGCCATGCGATCTCGCACACCTTCTGTACGTTGACGACATGTCTGCACTCCGAGTTCGCCATGACAGACCTTGGCGACCTCCATCACTTCTTCCTCTGCATCTCCGTCAAGTGCTCCTCCGACGGCCTATTCCTGTCTCAATGACAATGCACCGTGGATCTACTTCAACGAGCAGGCATGGTCGAGTTCTACTCTACTGCGACACCAACGGATGCACATGCTAAGCTGTATGTCAGAGACAGTCCACCTCTTGATAACCCAGTGGAGTATATAGGAGTCTCGCCGATGCTTTGCACTACCTCAAGTCGACTCAACCGGATCTGGTGTATGTCGTTCAACAGGTGAGCCTCTTCATGCATGATCCTTGACAAGCGGATTCTCCGCTACGTGAAGGGCACTCTCTCCATCGGCCTTCACATTGGCACCGACAAAGTCCAGGCTTACACCGACGTGGACTGGGCTAGTTGTCCTAACTCATGCCGCTCCACATCAAGCTACTACATCTTCCTTGGAGATAATCTAGTTGCTTGGTCTTCGAAGCACCAGACCACTGTCTCCCTTTCTAGTGCTGAGGCAAATATCATGCTGCAACCCACGTCGCCGTCGAGTGTTGTTGGTTGTGGCAATTACTTAAGAAACTTCATATTCGGCCATCATTGTCTACTACGATAACGTTAGTGCTGTCTATATGACAACCAATCCGGTTCATCGTCGCGCGAAGCATATCGAGATTGACATTCACTTTGTTTCTGAGAAGGTTGCTTTGGGGCAGGTTCATGTGCTACATGTCCTGTCTTCTCACCAGTTTGCGTACATCATGACCAAAAGCCTACCTATTTAGTTATTTACTGATTTTAGGTCGAGTCTTTGCGTTTGTGATCCTCCCGTTGCAAATGCGGGCGGGTATTGGAGGAAAGTGTATATTGTATAACTTTTTTTTTGTTTCTATCTCCTCTTTTCGAGGATCTCTTGTAACTACCGGTATATTGGCTATATATATAACAACCGCCCCCACTGTTGGGGGAATGGCTCCGGATGACGGAGCCGGCCTCCGTCAGTAGGGAAACTCTGCCCGGAGCCATCCACCAAGGGAGAATGACCGAAGGCAACAGCTACCCCGATGATCGAGTCCGACTAAAGGCTTCAGAGCCGACCAAGGGCTCCGAAGCACATCACCAACTCCGAAGCTGACCAACCGCCCCAGTGCCTACCATAGGCTTCGGAGCAGACCAACGGCTCCGGAGCAGACCAACAACTCTGGAGCAGATCAATGACTCCAGAGCGAATCAATGACTCTAGAGCCAATCACTGGCTTCGGAGCTAACCAATGGCTCCGAAGCAGATCGAAGGCCCGAAGTGTCCGGGGAGCTAAAATACTCGAGCGTGGAGAAATGGTTCACGAGCGTAGTGGGGCACCATTAATACGCACTACGCATCCGCCAACCACCTCTGACATCCTAACAAGGGCAAGATGGCATCCGCTATTATCCGGGGGCATGCCTTTACCTGGATAATAGCCATCACCCTCGGGAAGCGTCATCGCTTCCTTAATGGGCGCAGCCCTCCCTGTCTCTAGGGGTTTTACCGACTGCCCTAGGGCTGGCCCACCGGCCAGCCGCTCTACATCTTATCTAGCTAGGGTAAAGATGTAACTTCCTCTTGTACCCCATGTATAAATATGTAAGCATTGTCCACAGTTAGGGACAGATTGAGTACAAAATACACATTGAATACACTGTTTGGACTTTGTTCCAACACCCACCATATATGTGAAGAGTTTTCCCTAATTCTATCTTTCTACAATCCACACTTTTAACGTCACAACAACCATTGACAACATGAACAACCACCTTCAATAACATTGCGTCTATGGTAGATGATATTATATCATCATTGGTCAAGTGGGTTATGTTGTTTTCTGTGGCATTTTAATAGTTGTGCTGACACCCATGCCAACTCCATCTCAAACGATCGTCTTCGGCTCCATCACTGGCCTTGTCAAAGAAAAAGAAGACTCTTATCTTGAGTTCTCTTGGTGTTGACATTGGCAGTGGCCAATGGGACATGCCTTATGTCATGTTGAGCGCAACATATTGCCAATTGTTACCAAGTCCCGCGATTAGTCGTAAAGTTGGTCAAGCCACACGACTAGAGTGCCACGACTTGACTGAATAGCAAGCCACACGATTAATCGTGGTTAGTTGTAAATTTAGTAAGAGATGATCGTGCATATCTCTACTTGTAAATGATGGTAAGACGACCATATATAGAATTAATCAATAACATACCACAAACACAAAACGTTTCTCACATCACTGAAGAACGTATAGATTTAGACATATTGAAATAGCTAATCTTTATTTCCTTGATGGACAAACAATGTCGAACCATATTTTAGATAGCTACAATAACATAAAATCAGGAAGTAAAACACATACGGATGAATGATTGGAATGTAAAGCAAAGTTTCCACTACTTGATTGGAGTAAAAAATCGGATTGGACAGATTGAAGAAAGTATTTTCTTACTTGTTTTGCGTATGGAGTTTGGCACGTGAGAATTGTAGCTCTCCGCACAACGGCTTTTTTAGAATTGTTCAACTAGATCCCTGCAATTTATTTTTTTAGAATTGTTCAATTGGCAAGTGAGATGTTTTGTCAGATTATATGTGCTGGAATTATGACATCAAATTTATTAGTATATATATATATATATATATTTATTTTAATGATGTCACAATTTTCGCGTGCCTTTTCATGGAGTTGGTAGACTTAGTCTATACTCCCTAGACCTTACCCTTTATATATGGCCTATCATCCTAGACTCCTTGCAATCCATCTCCTCAATTGAAGTATTGAAAAAATAGGTGGAAAAGAGGAAGGGTTAGGAAGAGATCATCTAAGAGAGGGAAGGGGGAAGGGTGAGGGAGAGATCATCTCTAACTTGCTTCTTCAGCGCTCTTTTGCAATCAATGCTGAATCTCTCTTGAACTGATAGGACAGCGAGCGATTCGCAAATCTGTCCATCTGGAGGTATAGATCTAGGCCTGAGTCTAATTTTTTTCGTTTTCTGTTGGTGGTACAGGTGGTTCCGTGAGGATTTTGGAGGGGTTAATGGTTTGTTGCTCTGTTCATCTGGTGCTTTGCATCTAGGGTATCAACAATTATAGATCTGCAATTCTTTGAGGCGTTTAAGGCCTTCTTTGGAACATAGGAATTTTGGAGGACTTTTGTGGGTGTTGAATTAGTTTGGTGAAAATCGTGTAAAATCCTTGTGATCCATAGGAGCCCTAAACCTTCAGCACATCGTGCCTACTGGTTTTGACATAACATCGGAATTTGTGTCTTGCTATGTTGATCCTTCTCTGGAACTGTTCTGTTCATGGCCTTAACCATCTGCTTTAATATGCTTGTTTTAGGTTTTTTTTTTCATGTAGTGCTGTTTGGTATCAGTGGAGAAAAGTAGGGGGAGAATAATATCAGATGATTGAAATCTAGGAATTTGAGTTTTGGGAAGATGATTCAAATCTATGTTGATTGCATAGCTACAATAAAATGATTTACCTGATCCATGTGTTCCAACCATGGTCTTATTGTTTGAATCTTGTTTATGTGCTATACTGAAAGCGTGCTGTATTCTCTATAGTTCATTGTGCTGCAATCCTTCCATAGTTACACATGAATAATGATATTTGTGTTTTTTTTGTCAAGTGGACCTGTTTTGATCACTATTCACTTGAAAAATCTGTACAAAGGAAAACACCTCTGATCTCTTGAAATTCTGGTTTGTTGCAAAGCAAAATGAAACTGCAAGTAACCCAGAGTGTTTTTGGCTGCTCTGACTAACATTATCTGAAGTTTTTGGAAGTTTTCTAATGATGTTTGTCATACGAACACTATTATCACTAATTAATATATCCTTTTGATCTGCAGAACAAATGCTGCAGATGGAGCGCATTTGACTGAGTTTGCTGTGCAGCTGCCACATTTTGAGGGGCTTCACTTAAAGAACACTGCTCTTTATGGTAAGGATTAGAGAACAATCATATCTAGGCAAGAGAGATGTGTAGAAGCTTTTGGCTGGAAATTTACTATGCCTTCAAAGCCCTGTAACTTTTTTAAGAACATTTTTTTGTGTTAAGTGATAACCATCAACATCAAATCCTGCTAGCTGCTATACTCAGTGCATAGTTGCTCAAGAAATTCATCGTATGTTGTTTTGCTCAGTTAGGCATAACACGTGCTTGTCTGTAAACTTCAACTTCATGATAATTCCCAGAAATTTGTGAGCCTTACCAATATTTGAATTCTCCTGCATGGTGTTTTATGCTGTGTATCTTATACCTGTGTGGCTTCAAAGGTGACTATTATTGGTGCAGCTTATGACAACTCCACTACTTTCTTGTTGCAGATGGGAATCAGTTTATGCCAGCATTTGGTCTTGCTCATTGTCTGAGCATGAGACAACAATTTACTTCCATGGACCGTGATATCATGGCTGATGGAAACATAGTGCAAAGGTCAATTCATTTGCGCAGAAAGAGAAGGGATCTTCCACAGACATCATCATTACCCAAGTTTGCTGAGAACCACGAGCTTGGAAGTGCCAATATCTTTATGGATCCATCTTTTTACACAAAAGCAACAGAGTCTAGTTCTACAGAAAACAAAAGTTCATCAAAGCCTCCAAAATTTCTTGGGGAAAATAGTAGCCGTCGACCACATCATCGTACTGTGAGTATCTTATTGTCCATTTTATATAGTTCTCTATCCACTGTCCACTTTAGAAATTGCAGAACCACATGTACATGTACCATACTACCATCCTAAATATTTACTCCCTCAGTCCCCTAATATAAGGGATTTTGACATTTTACTTGCATTGTTTGATCACTCGTCTTATTCAAAAAATTTGTGCAAATATAAATAATGAAAAGTTGTGCTTAAAGTACTTTGGATAATAAAGTAAGTAAAAAAAATAATAATTCCAAAATTTTTTGAATAAGACGAATGGTCAAACAGTATAAGCAAAATGTCAAAATCCCTTATATTAGGGGACGGAGGGAGTATATGACAAATGTATAGAAGACATGATGGCTGGTTTAAATTCTGAAAGGTTTGATCAATTTTGACTTTTCGAGGATTAATTGATGGCAGGCTGTGTTCGCCTCCCGCACACGCAAAACGGAGTGACTCATTTTCTTATAAATAATTAAGTACTCCCTCCATTTACTTTTGATAGTCATATTTCCAAATCTGAAAAATTTATTTTTGATAGGCATATTTCAATCCAACAACCTATTCTCTTAATGACTTTCTCGGATTTAATGCGTGACTCTCTATTCTTCCACACAAGATTAGCTACATGGGCATCGAGAAATGTAAATATTAACGAATCGCTTGTTTGCGAGGAATAACTAGTAGCATGTTTAAATGGATGATAAGTAGAATTACTTATCCTTGGTCTATGTGTCAAGATGAAATATGACTATCAAAAGTAGATGGAGGGAGCATTTATTATTATTATTATTTTAAAAATGGATTAATATGGTTTTTTAAAAGCAACTTTCGTATATATTTTTTTTGCAAAAAAACGCACCGTTTAGCAGTTTGAAAAGCGTGTGCGCGGAAAACGAGGGAGGTGAGTTGGGAAAGTTGGGGAAAGAACTCAGCCTAAATGGATCTACATGTACATGTGGGAAATCTATTCTCATATGTTATTTTCCAAAGGCACAGACTTGTAGTTTCTGGAATTGCATATTTATATGTTGACTCCTATACTGAATTTGACAATATTGCTTTGTTGTGTATCTCTAGGTTGGCCTACCTGTTCAATATAGTGATTTCTTTATCACCAGTTTGGGAGAAATCGATAAAAGGCCAAGCTACCATAATTCCTACCAGATATGGCCAGTTGGTTTTACGTCTTACTGGCATGACAGAATTACTGGTTCACTGTTCGAGTGTGAGGTGTGTGACGGAGGGAATTTTGGGCCTTTGTTTAAGGTGAGAAGGATATCATGTTCAGTGTTCCCTCTTCCAGATGCATCAACAATTCTCTCTCAAAATAGTACAAGAAAGGCTGAGACAATAGAAACAAATGAAAACAACACTTTGCTTGAAGATACTGCTAATGATACAGATGATAATATCTTAATGCTCCTATCAGACTCTTCTGAGACCAATCAAGATTTGTTATCATGTTTTAGCAATGATATGGAGAGCAAAATGACTTCTTTAGGTTGCAATGATTTGCATAGTTCAAATAGGTCGGTACCAACAGTACCGTCACACTCTGGGACTGACAAAATTGGCGAGTTTACGTTTGAGGGAACATCTCCTTCCTCAGTATGGAGGATGATTTCTTGTGCTATGATGGAAGCTTGTGAAAAAATGTACAAGGAACATGGCCATTTGGTGTTCTTCTGCACACATGGTACTGAAAAGCATTCATTTGACAGTGGGAGTGGATTTCAGGACTTTAATGGTCCTTACACTCCATTAACTAGATTTTGCTCATCTTATGGGCCCAGTATACCGAGAATTGTAGAAAAGGAGAATGATGTGGAGCCTACTTATTCACTACTCAAAGAATGGCTATACCAAGATAGAATTGGGTTTGACTTGGAATTCGTTCAAGAAATTGTAGAATCTCTTCCTAGATCTAGGGCTTGTTCAAATTACCAGTTCTTGTGCAACAGGGCTGAATTCGTCTCTTCTTTGACAGTTGCAAGTGGTTCACTTAGAGTTGTACATAAAAATGGTCAGAGTAATGGAGACGTCATGTCATATGGCAGACATGGGTCTGTGGTGACTGGGCTACAGGATCATACCCAGCCTAGTGGTTTTAGAATCCGTGAACTTCCTCTGGGACGTCCTATTAGCAATAAGCTTCCGCCAGAGTTGGCAGGAGAGGTTCTCCAGGTATAACTCTATGCATATGTTTTCCATTTCTCTTCTATTTGATCGAATGTACCTGTACACACTTGTCCAAATCTACTAATTATTGCATCTGATTCCTTGCAATCTTCTTGTAGATATGGGAATTCCTGGGACGTTTCTCTGAAATAATTGGCCTGAAAGAAATTCCTTCATATGAGCAGCTAGAAGATGAACTTATTGACCCATGGCCAATTTGTGCAGATCAGAAAGAGAAGTTATCAAATGACATTCACAGGGATCACACTTCGCCGATTAATTCCCCTGCAAATGTTTCTACATCATATTCAAATGGTGAATCGGGTCTAACCAGTAATGAAGAGATTGTATCTTTGTTCATCCCTGTTGAAACTTCTTCTATGAAGAAAGCTGCTCAAGATAAATCGGCAGCTCAGACGCTTGGAAGATGCAGTGGCGTAGTGTTGCCTGGGGTTCACCTTACACTCTTTAGGGTTCTTTTTGGTGAGCTATTATCTAAGGTTGCAATTTTTGTAGATCCAAACATTGATCCTAAAGAATCAAAAACTAGGCGTGGAAGAAAGAAAGACACTGAGAATCTCATTTCAGCAAAAGAATTTAAATTTGACATGCTAACAGCTAACAAGTTGACTTGGCCGGAATTGGCAAGAAGGTATATTTTAGCCATTTCGTCCATAAGTGGGTGCATGGATTTATCTGATATTTCAAGTCGAGAAGGAGTGAAATTATTCCGCTGTCTACAAGGTGATGGTGGTATTCTGTGTGGTGCACTACCTGGGGTTGCTGGCATGGAAAAGGATGCGTTGGTAAGGAATCGCTTCTTGGTTTAGCTGAACTTCTGTTTATGATGAATATATCTAGTTTTTTATGTATCATATATGGAATGTTGGCTTTTTTTAGTAGCGCCGATGTAACTTTTAGCTTGCTTCGGTCATATAAGATGGTATTTGCTATCTTCTCTTCGTGTTTTTCTTCAATTTTTTATTTTCCACTCATTCATTTAAACATTATCAAGTTTTTTACTTATATTTCTACCCTTATACGATTTTGTCTTCTTTTAAGTTGTGAGGAAAAGATATATGCTAGCAAAACTAGCTAGCTGGACAAAAAATTTTGATATCTCATAATATGCTGTGAACTTTCTGCACTGTTTATCATTATTATAATTCTATAGAACATTCTCTGTTACCAACCATATCAACACTTTTACCTTATCTTGAGGGAGAACAGTAGAACCCCTTATTCTGCTTGTATAATTCTTTATGTTTGTTGTTCTATGAATAATAGATGAAAGGATGTTGCCTATCAGTGCAGGATAATCAGTTAACCAAATCTAGGAAGATATTTCCTATGGTTCTATAGGGAGCCCCTTTACCTGTTTTTAGAGATTTTTGCTGTTAAATGATGCCTATGGCGACAAAATTCTTATTTTTCTCTTATGTTACTAGAGAATTTTTTTTCATGTTCCGAATAACAAAGCTGAAATTGAGATTTCCTAGCTACAGCAATTACATGTCCAGCTACATCATTCTGAATATAAATCTGACCTGGAAGGATGCGTTAATGTGTTACTGTCTGTCATATAACTTATCTGTAACTTTTTCTACTTCATTTCCATCTGCAGTTGTGTAAAGAAAACTACAAATACAATCTCCATGTTAAGTAGCCTTGTGTTCTCTAAGGAGAAAATATAATTTTTCTTATGCTGTACTTTATACACTAATCTTCTTGTATTTTCAGCTGCTTGTGGAGGCTGAAAATTTGATATGCAAATCTTCGGTGAATGAAGAAAGTAAGGTTTTTATGATGGATCAAAAGGATACTGACATGGTAGATTCTCCTGAGGTGTCTGCTACTGATAATAAAACATTGCCTGACTGGGCAAAATCACTGGAGCCTGTGAGAAAATTACCAACAAATGTGGGGACACGAATTAGAAAATGCGTTTATGAATCTTTGGAGAGAAAACCTCCGGAATGGGCAAGGAAAATTTTGGAGCATTCAATCAGTAAAGAGGTCTACAAGGGTAATGCATCTGGACCAACTAAGGTTAGTGTGCTCCCTGCAACTATGGCTCAATCTTCTGCAAAATAATGATTTTCACATACTGCTTTATGTTAAGAGTATTTAAAGCATGGTCTCATATTAGTTTAGGTTTATTACCATGTGTTTTTCTGCTTATATTAGGACTTGGGAGTCCTCATGTACCCTATATGTTTGGCTCTTGCCAAGTTGGCATACAACATTAATTCATCTGTTGAGTTCCTGTCATACATCATGTAATACATATTGCATGATAGTTCCGTATCTCCCCAATAGTTTGTGCTTTTACTATGTCTATTGTATTCCCTAAAAAAGATGTGATGAAAAAAGGGAGCCCCATGAGAACAATCACTGTGACCTTTGATTTTGATGAGAGGCTTTGGTGGTCCAATGAGTTTTTTATGTTTATCTAGTTGGTTAGTCAAGGTTTAATAGCTCTTGTAGCTGTAGGTCATACGTTTTAACTTTCTTAATTTCAGCTCACATGCCTTCCCTCATGACTGTGTCGGATTTTCTGCTGATGTGATGATGCTTGATGCTTCCATGGCTTAGTTTAGCTGGAAAAATGTTGACATTAGCTCTGTGTTGAAATTGCATTTCTACTAATATGCTCCCTCCGTCTCACAATATTGCTACTTCTCCGCCTACCTCTCAACCAATCACAACCTTTTCCCATTAATTTTTTACCTACTTTCTCATCTCAACTTATCACAACCATTCCTCACCCCTACCTTAATCTCATAAAAAAAAAGGGCATAAGTAGTTGTATTTTGAGATGGAGGGAGTAGTGTATATGCCAAAAAGTGATCTAATGGCAAGGCCATGCTTAAACATCATTCAAAAGAAATGGATCTGGCATTAGATTAAATTTGATGTCCATGCTGATATTTTGTGTTTCTTTTGTTCTTAAGAAGTTCCTATCCCTATGCCTAAAATATTGTTTGGTTGCATACCTTTTTTTTTTGTTACAGAAAGCAGTTCTATCTGTGTTGACAGAAGCATGTCGTGTAAAAGTACCACATAATCCAGAAAAGCCAAGAAAAGAGAGAAATGCTATTTCCATCTCAGAGGCTATCTTGAAGAAGTGCCGTATTGCCCTGCGCTCTGCTATTTCCTCAGATGAATCCAAACTTTTTGGGAATTTGCTCGGAACTACTCTAGTGAATTCCAATGAAAATGAGGATGAAGGCATACTAGGATTCCCTGGTATGGTGTCCCGCCCTTTGGACTTCCGCACAATTGATATAAGGTTGGCTATGGGAGCTTACTATGGATCATGGGAGGCTTTTCTTGAGGATGTCCAGGAAGTATGTTTTACTTTAACATTTATAATATTATTCAATTATGATGCACATGATATATTTTGCAAGATTTTTCATGTATGTTTTGCTAATGTGGATCCAATGAATTCTGTTTGCACTGTTGTAACAACTTGGAACAGCAGTTAGTTTATTTTGTGAATTTTTTATGGTGATATTTTGTGAACCTACTATAGTAATTCTTGCTCATTTACATGTAAAATTGAGCTGTTCATTTGCATAACTAATTGAGCAGTGCAAAAATACTGAAACATATTCTAATTAATATTCTGTCTTCGACTGCAAGAAGTTCCCTGGTCAAATTATGCTGCCATTATGCTTTCCTGTAGGTAATACGCAACCTGCACACTGCATTTGGTGATCGCCCTGATGTGCTTGAAATGGTTGTTGCATTGTCTCAGAGTTTTGAGTCATTGTACAAGACAGAGGTTGGTTAATCCTATTTTTCTGTTGCATCTTTGCTTTTCTGTTCAGCTTTATTGTTCCTCCAAATGCCATCACAATAACTAGATATTGTACAAAATACCAATAGCCATTACATTTTCCATTCATGGGTTTTGTCACCATTCATTGCACCCTTGAGCTACATTGGTCAGACCATTGTTGTAAACGATTATCAGTTTAGTTTACCTATCCAATTTAGTTTCATAATCTAATGATGGAAACAATGTTATTGTTACTTGAAAAAAAAAACCACCTCTTTGTGTGTTATCTCATGTGATTGCTAATGCTGATTCGAATATATAGATCCTTTTTATAGTTTCATATTTTAAAACATTATAGTCAGGGTTATGTAGAAGTCTTTTATCTTCTCATTTCCCTTCTACTTGGCTGGTGCAGGTGCTTGACCTTGTTGAGAAATTTGACAAATACCTCTCGGACAAGAATGCTGGTTCAGAAATGCACGAGGAGCTACATGATATTCTAACTGCAGCGAACAGCTTACCTAAAGCTCCATGGGAAGATGGCGTTTGCAAAGTATGTGGTATTGATAGGGACGATGATAGTGTTCTGCTATGTGACAAATGTGACTCAGAATACCACACTTACTGCTTGAATCCCCCACTAGCCCGTATACCAGAAGGGAACTGGTACTGTCCATCATGTATGTTAGGTCAAACGAAAGCACATCATGATCAGGGTGTTCAAGATGTGAAACGGCAGCAAAAGAAATTTGTTGGGGAGGAAGCCCATGCCTTTCAAGAGGAACTTAATAAATTAGCTACAGCAATGGAAGAGAAGGAATATTGGGACCTTAACATGCAAGAGGTTTGTTTTTCTTTTTTCCTTTGTATTTGAAGTAAGCTTCTCTGTTGTTAATGTGTGGTATAAACCAAGAGGCTCCTCAATCCCAAAATAATGACTCAAAATAAGCTTCTTAGAGTTTTGAGTGATACAAGACAAAGTTGGACCTGCTATAGGCCCCTAAACCTATAAGGACTTAAGGTCAGGTCAATAATTTGGAGCTTGAAGTTAATTTTGTCATCCATGGAATAGTATAGTAGCTACAATGTTTTGTTGCTTTGGACATCCAAGTTAAGCAACACGTAAGGAATTGATGTGTTTTTCTTATTTCTCAGTGGTAAATATATACTGCTGGATACAGTTCTTGTTACCATTTCAAATATACCTTGTTATAAGTATGTCTATTTCATGGACATTGCATACAATTTTAGTCTGGTTTGATTTTTTACTTAAGAGTCCTGCCCTCTATTATTGTACTGTACAATACTATGATTGCCTAAGCATTTGCTGGTATGCTGATTTCCATAGTTGACAAAGTGACCTACATATTTGTTTTAATATTTTATTGTGATCTTTGAAATGCAGAGGATATATTTACTGAAATTTCTATGCGACGAAATGCTCAACACTGCTCTAATTAGAGAACATCTAGATCAATGTTCAGATAAGTTAGGCGATCTTCAGCAGAAGTTCCGTGCTTCAAATTTTGAATTGAAAGATTTGAAATATAAGGAGGAGATGAGGACTTCATATGCTAGACAAAGTAGATCTAGTAAAACTGAACAGCATTTTAACAACAGTTCTGGACCCGTGGAAAATCAACAGCAGTGCACGCCCACAGCATTGGACCATCTGGAAGAGGCTGAACAGGGTAATGTTGGAGTTAACCTAAACAACCCAGCTGATGGGGTTCCTGATGGGCAATTGAATGTAGGCAAGCCTTACAAAAGTGACAAAGACATATCCAGTGCATCTATGGTTGAAGAACGCAAATCTTCAGGACTTTCTGAACAACCATCAGGAATGGCTATTGACCAGATTGATGGGGATGCTATTGATGAAGGGTCCCAGAGTTGTGAGAAGAGGTCATTAGGTGCCAAGAGCAGTACATGTGATAACTTGAACTTGAAAGACACTGAATTTAGCACACCTGGAAGAGAGTTGCCTGATGAAAGAGCCAGCACATCATTCCAAGATAATCTTGAAGCATCATCAACTAAATCAATTGAGCTTGATGCTGATAATAATGAAATGGATACTTTATCGGATGACATTTCAAAATTGCAGGATTCAATTAGCTTACTAGAGTCACAGATTAATATGGCATCATCGAGAAGAGAGTGTCTGGGTAAGGATTCCATTGGTCGATTATACTGGGTTATAGGAAGACCGGGTAAACGTCCTTGGTTGGTGGCTGATGGAAGCATGCTGAAACCCAAGGAGAGAGATATCAGTATGGTTAACAGTTATCCCCCATCTGCTTTTGATTGCAAAGGTTGGAATTCAGCATCTATTTTCATTTATGAATCTGATGAGGAAATCCAGTGCCTTCTTGACTGGTTAAGAGACTATGACCCAAGGGAGAAGGAACTGAAAGACTCTATCTTGCAGTGGCAAAGACATTTCTGTCATCAAAGCAGTTCTCCTCTCGTTGATCCTCCAATTTCTGGTCCAAAGGGTGAACAGCTTATGGAGCTTCCAAATACCAAGGCTGCAGTAATTTTGGAACAAAAGTATGGTCTGCAATTGGACCAGGACACAAGTGATCTACCGAAAAAGCGAGGAAAGAAGATAAAGTTAAGTTCTGAAGATAGAACATATCGCTGCGACTGTTTGGAACCTGTATGGCCTTCTCGATACCATTGTTTAACATGTCATGAGACTTATCTCATATCTACAGAGTTTGAGGGGCATAATGATGGAAAATGCAGTAAAATCCACCAGTCTCCTGATGAAAGCAGAGAAAATGATGAGCCAAAAGTGAAGGTTACCAAATCTGATACGAAGGAAAAAGATTCCCTTGAATGTAGCTCTGTCATTGAACCGTCCAGTGACAGAAAATTGATGCAATGCCCATATGACTTTGAAGAAATTTGCAGAAAGTTCGTCACAAATGATTCGAACAAGGAGACAGTAAAGCAGATTGGACTTAATGGGTCCAATGGAGTTCCATCATTTGTGCCTTCACCTGCATTTTTTCTTGAACCTGCAATTGTACAAAGTCAAAACAGAAAAGATGATGAACTCAAGGATTGGACCTCCTCTTTAGAGGAATGCAATGCAATGTCTGCTCAAAAGCTAGTTCAAGAGGTTTCCAAATCTGGTCAAAGTTGTCCTGGCAATGTGGGTGATGAGAAGGTGCAAAAATCTAAAAAGCCCACCCCTGATAATACTTCTGGTGAGGAAGCACATTCTACAACAGGCAAGCCAACACGATTGCTAGCTGTTAATGGGGGGTTGGTTCCAGAGTCATCCTTGAGGCCTCTTATAGGACGAAACTCTCACATACTTAAGCAGCAAAAGATAAACTTGCTTGACATCGAAGCAGCCTTGCCTGAGGAGGCACTGAGAGCCTCAAAGTGTCAGCAAATAAGAAGGCGTTCATGGCGTGCATTTGTCAAAGATGCAGAATCAATATCCCAGGTACCTTAATCTATCTATTCACTGTTTGTTACAGAAATATATCTATGTAGCTTAATGTGTAATCTTGGCATACTGCATTTGGCTTACGTTCATCAAATTGATAGTGTTCCGAAATTCTAAGATATACTCTCAAGCATGCAGCGTTAATTTACCATGTCTTTGTTTGTGTCTGCAACAGTTCAATTTAACTGTAAAATTACTTATACAGGATCCATTTATTTAAAATTTTTAGCAGTAAGTCTAGATTCAAGTGGTTAGTTCCTAAGTTGTAAGTCTAGATACACAAGTAAACAGGATACAGGAATTATGGGCCACCAAGACCTGAGCTATAATTTAGCCCTTTCTTTTTTTAACTTCATTATGTGAAGATGCAGTATAAATTATTACTTGAGAGCTCTTTTGCATTATCCAATTTCCTGATTAATGACATCCATCCTCTTTTAGATGGTTTTGGCGGCTAACTTGTTGGAGGGCATGATAAAAGCTGAGTTCTTGAAGAACGATTGGTGGTACTGGTCTTCCTTCACAGCAGCTATGAAGACATCAACTGTATCCTCACTCGCGCTCAGGGTCTACACTCTAGATGATTGTATCATCTACAGTAAGGATCAAGTTCCAAGCGTTGAGCCAGCTGACAATACAAGGTCTGGAAACAGAGGTGGGAGGAGGAGGAGAGAGCTTGAATCCTTAGCATCATAATGTAGGACTCTCCGTTGTAGACTCCAAAGTTAGAAGCCTCTCGGGCAGCAAAAGAATATTATCCTGCTGTCAAGTAGATCGATGATAGATGATACAAAGTCTTCTGTTATGTCGTCGCTTAAGGAGGGTAGCGTGGTAGACATCGTTCCGGTACCCCTGCAAGAGTTCAACCCTGACTGTGTTTTCTTTTACCTCGTATCTACCAGCCTACCGTTTTTCGACTTCTGTTGTGGTTTTAGGTTCCAGAAGGAAGAATTGGTACTCCATGTGCGAGCATTCGATCTTGATGCCACCATGTAAATTGTTTGAGGCACCTGCAAGTGCTGGCATTTTGATCTGATCCGCCAGGAGTACCCGGTGCAATTTTCTCTGTTGGACTAACCCTATTCATTGTAGAGGTTATTCCATAGGAGATAGAGGAGACATGTCAGGTAGGGAGGATATGTCTCATTTTCTACCCACTTTCACTCTATTAGCCGCAGTGGGTAGTGTAGCGGGTGTTAGTTTCTCATTCTCATGGTCTGTACTTATGTCGTGTTTAGGGGGGGCGCTCTGGGGCGTTGTATTGATCATTTGTTTGATGTTTCTGGCAAGTTTGCAACATCTGATAGGAATGTAGATTCATCTTGCGACAGATATAATTTTGATTGTAACTAAACTGAACTGAAACCAATAATGATTAGTCAACAATGATTCGGCTGCCTGAGCGAGTGGTCGTAATATCTCACTGGTTTCTAATTCTGCAAATTCTGTTTTGCTTATGGTAACGAAAAATCCCATCCTGTGAAATCTTCTTCTGGTTCATTTTAGTGAAAAACGGAGATTGTCAGGATGGGAAAGGAACGAATGATGAAAAATCATCTGCTTCTGATATTGTTTATTGTTGCTACTCTTTTAACTTCTTTGTAATTTTCTAGCCCAAGAATGTATTTTTCCTTAATTAAAAAAAATAGCGAATGAAGGTTCTAACTCCTAACTGCATAAAAAAAGTATGTTGGTATGTGGCATGTTTGCTACGTTTTCGTGTCCTTTTTTTGGACGCATCTCCATGTCTTCTTAGATGTAGTAGACGTTGCTGTGGTGCACGGACACGGTGCTCTGGTACTTGATGTAGCCTCTCTGTTTGGGAGACTATTGCTTTTTGTTTCATGTCTTTGAGAAGGAAGCACGTGAGTATTTTTCATTAAGAGATGTATAGTAGTACCTTGTGTATTATGTTACTGTACATTTCCCCCCTTTTTTTTACAATGTTGTTACTGTACTTCTCTTCCCGACAAAAAAATAAATAAATATTACTACTTTGATGTCATTTTAGCTCAAGTGGTAAGAACACATGCGAAGGAAACAAAATAAAAGATGTAGTGGAATGCGAGAGAAGGCTGAACATTTTGGTTTTGTCCAGCACTTGTCTGACCTTTTTTTTTTCTGTATGTTATTACAGTACAACGGAAGCAGAGTCATCCTGCTCCTCTTTAAGCATACCACTCACGTACTTTGCTACAAGCAAAAACACATCACGATATCCTCCTCACCTCCTCCTTGCCCAGATCACACCAATTGCCCTAGTTTTTTCTTCCTGCAGTGACCTTACACTGCACTATTTTTTACAATAGCACATAACAGAGAAAAAGGCAAAGAAGAAAAGAAAAAGAAAAGAAAAGAAACAGAGAAAAATGAGAGTAAAAAAATGCTGCATGATCTTTACTTCAAACTGATTTATATAACTACTAGACTCTTGCTGAAGACATGGTGAATTTGAAGGCGGCCGATCTCGAAAATATATATATTTGCTTCTCTTCTGTTATGATTGAGGAACAATTGTGCCAACGTATCCGATACCGACGATGAAGAACGCCGCGCCTTGGAAGAAGAGGTAGATGAAGAAATGGTCCTTCCCGAATGCAAGATCATACCATCCACAGGAGAAGAGGAATGCCGCCACGCCGAGCTCCGTGACGTTTAGCCTGAAAAAAGGGAAGAAATTGTCACTCGAAATCAGTGAATCATGAGCTGAGAAAACAGTTATAAAGATTTGGCAGAGTTTTTGTTCTGATCAATTTTTCTTACCTGTCCCATACCCTCATGAACGATTTCTTGGCTGATGATTTGCTTGATGATTTCATCTTCAGAGCGTTGCCGAGCTTCTCGGTGACGACCCATTCGTTCGCCCTACCGGCTTCTAACAGGCCGATGAGAGTGGCCTTTGTTCTATGCAGTGACATGACATTCTCAAAGAGGATCCAGAAGAAAAGCAAGTGAAAAGACCTGCAAACAGTTCAATTCCTTGGGTTAACTAAACATGCAATCAATCATGAACTGTTGATTCACCAAAGGAGCATTACTGTTGATCATATTCAACTAGGATTATAATAAAATCAAAAGAAAATCTTACCTGGGAGTTCCAACGGAATTGAGAAGGGTGATGATTGTGGGAATGTACACACAGCCCCACTTTGGTATCCTGACCTCAGGGACAAAGATAGTTGCCGGGATAATCAAGCAGTAGAACGCAAAGGTCACGATGTGCGCGATGATTTTGCGGATCAAAAAGAAGTTGTAGATGACATGAATCTTCTTCCAGATTGTCACTTTCTGCAACAATGTCAATAATAGCATGTTAGATGCCAACCCAAGAAGCTGCATGGCTTAAATTTTTCTGGATTTCTTGGCACTATGTTTGGGGAGACCTTATTTCTCACAATCTCCATCAGCATCTTCCTGAACAGGTTTGCCGGCCCACATGACCACCTGTGCTGCTGAAACCGAAAGGCTTTGAAAGTACTTGGCAGCTCACTTTTGACCTGAAAACGACGCAATTCTTGTTAAACTCATTTTTTTTCTCTCTTAGGCAACATGAATCAATGTACTATTTCCTCAAGAAAAAGAAAAAGAAGGGAAATGCAATAGCAACTTAGCAAGAGCAATGACAAAGGATGCATTGGATGCTATCTCAAGCTGATCATGTGTAGGATATCCATGATTGGTGTGTACCTGAACATCTCCAAGGTAGACAAACTTCCATCCCTTAAGACTCGCCCTGATTGCCAGATCCATGTCCTCCACTGTGGTCCGGTCCTTCCATCCTCCCGCCTCGTTTACCGCGGAAACGCGCCACACACCAGCAGTTCCTGATTGAAAATTCACCGAATCAATCAGCCCTTATGTATAAAAATCATAACATAGAATGCATATTCTATATCCTAGAATCTTCAGAGACAAAGTTCTTGGTGAAGAACAGATGAAATTACTGAAGGTTGAAGCTTACCATTGAAGCCGAAGAATGCGCAGACAGAGGAGCTCACTTCCTGCTCCACTGTGAAGTGGTAATCCAAGGACATCTCCTGCATCCTTGTCATCAAGCACTCATCTGCATTCACTGGTAGAAACAAAAGACAGTATCAATATCATTGTAGTTCAAAGACAATGTCAACATCATATAGTTCAAAGACAAGATCAACATCATAGCTCCATGAGAAATACTTGACAGGTAACAACTGTACTATATACATCATTAAAACAAAGAGACCTGGAAACAGTTCTCAGCTAACCAGACTAGTAGCAAACATTTTACTACTGCTACACTGTTGTGAAGAAATTGTGCAACTGTGGATGCCTGCACTGCACTGTCCTCTGTAGTAATTATTTATTTGCTTGTTTCTTTATTTTTGGCAGGTTTTGTCCTGTTTCTTCTACTACTACTGTATTAAGACTAGTACTACTACCACTACTACTAAACAGTAACCTTGGGCAGTGGCCAATACTAATAATCAATTGGACCCAAACTACTCCACACTAATCTCTGAATTTAGCTGCAGGATCCAATGCACATCGCAGCACAATTTCTGCTCGTGCCAAAACTCTGGAGATCTCACATGCCACTGTCACTGTACTGCTATGCTTTGATAATAATTGCAACTTGATCACACCACTGTTGGAGAGAAGGACCAATTAAGCTGGAGCTTCAGAGGGCACGGCCCCTAATTAATTACTACACTAATCGCTGCAGCATTTGACAGCAGGACATGGCCGGACCTAGGGCTCAAGGATCACCGACGAGATGGGCCCACCCGTCACGTACACGCCACATGGTGGCGGCAGTGGCAGCACGGGTGGGCCCCACGTCACAGTGACTGCAGCGAGATGGGTCAGCTCAGCTCAGCTCAGCTTCAGTGTCAGGACAAGCTGCTGCTGTGCTGACGTAGCCGCCCTGGGACGCACAGCTCCTCTACTGCATGGAAGCCAAGGAAGGAATGGGGCTTGTACTTTACTTTCCTTGTGTACTCGTGTTTGTGCTAGCGATTGGATCAATGCTAATGGAAATATAATTAGTTCTAATTAAGTGAAGAAGATCTTTGCCTTTACCTTGTTAACTATGCTTACTTTAGAGGATTTTATAGGAACCAAATAGAAGAAGGTGTTTATATGAACCAACTGATATCTTTTTTTTAAACGAATAGCACCAGACAATTTGATGAATCATATAGTGAGAAAACGTTTATAAGACCATAATCCTATAATATTTTATATTTTATAAACCAATTGTTAATTTAGGTCTGACCTTGTACAATCATGTTAGATATAGAGATCGGATTTTAATTTATTATAAATAAAAAATGATATTTTAGGTCATATGACCAAAGTTCAGCTCTTACTAACTGTCGGTCGGGCTATCGCGAGTCGTCATAGAAGTACGAGGCACGTGGATCTTCTCCATCATCTTTACTTAATGAAGTCCACACTGCCACATACCCTACCAACAAGTACCAACTAAACCCTAAAAAATAATATGTGAACACAATTTGCATCCCGGAAGAAATGGGACGCATAATTGCCAGACGCAATCACCGACGACCCTCCATGCCGCCGTGATCACCGACGGCGATAGCAACACCCCTGGCCCAGCCGGTGGAGCCAGCACCGCCGGCGATCGTCGGCGACACGCGCATATATTCCATCTTAAAATATAATTATTTAGTATTGGATTTAACATCACCTAAATCTATCGGTCACATCATTTCGTTTATGCTTATGTTTATTAGTTAATTTCAATTTTTAATCTTAAATTTGTAGTTGATTTCGGAGTTTTTTCGTCAAAGTTTATTTTTCAGCATTTGCTTTTTTATCGCTAAAAATATGTATATAAAAAATTTATTTATAAATTATTTTTCGTTTTCAAATATTTCGTTTGGCATGAATAAGCCAAACGATGAGATCCTAATAACCATATTTTTGAACGAATGAGGTAGTTGATAATCATCATGATCGGATTGAGAGATCCGGCTCGATACGATTGATGAGAAGATCTAGCAAGATGCTGGTAGTTGCCAGTACAATGCTAGTATGAGACAAGGGCACGAGGATCTTAAGCTTATATACTCTAGTAGCTGTCAGAAATGTGCAACGTACCCTGCACATGCCCCGTCAGTAAGTGACACTCACTCTCACTCGCCCAACCAACAACTCGATCGCACGGCCCAGCCATTAGATCACCCATAAATGGCCCAGATCAACTGGACAATATTCCGACTATATAAAATTCGCGGAATATGAGATCCCTTATTTACCCCCAATCACTCACCAACCGACACCACACGCAAATGTCTAGTCAACACGAGATATAGGGGGATGACATGTAGAGTCGGGATAGATATCGATTATACTATACTTACCGAAACGCCAGCGGGCCTGGACGAGGGCGATGTCGGAGTTGTGGACGAGGAAG